AATGATGACTTTTCCAACAGCAGCGATATACTCGAATATGGCACATCTTTTTTGGAAACTACCAAATACAGCGGGAATGGAAGTGTTCCCATGGATTCTCTGGTACATCTGGAAAGCTAGAAATGACAAAATATATTCAAACATTGATCGAGATCCCAGAGATGTTTTACGGATAGCACAGACAGAAGCAACATCGTGGGCATTAGCACAAATTGATCCACAACAGATGGAGAGCCAAAATACCCAACCTCCGATTGCATCAGGTTATGAGGGTCTAGTATGTCATACGGATGGATCTTAGAAATCAGCATCCTTAAATGCGGGTTTAGGATGGTATTGTCATGACAACAGTTCAGGTGTTACGGTTATGGGGGCGAAAAATGTCAGACGAAGCATTTCTCCTTTACAAATAGAATTGGAAGCATTGATTTGGGCTATGCATTGCATGCTTGATGAAAGAATACTGGCAATGGCGTTTGTTACGGACTGTTCTGAATTGGTGAAGATGGTTTCTAAACCTGAGGAATGGTCGGCTTTTGCTCTACATCTGGAGGAATATGAGAGAAGTAGGATAGAATTTATGTCCTTCTCCATCTCATATATCCCACGCGCTTAAAACACAAAGGCAGACAAGTTAGCACGCGGTGCTCGCGACTACCTTTACAGTTTAAATTATGTAAACTCAACTCCACCGGTCTGGTTAGAACCGTTCTAAGAGTATGAGGCTGTTGACAAAAAAAAAAAAGAGAAACAGAGATAAATTAAGCAAAACAATTGAAGAAGTCATATCCAATAAATTGGGATAAGAACAAATGATTTAACTATAAAATCAAGAAAGACATCATTGCTCAAATCAAACAAAACAATTAATAGACAAACTTTGATTGAAACAATAATAAAAACAGAACACGACCAAAAGATAATACTTAAGAAACTAAAGAAAAGCAAGACTACTTAATCAGATAAATAGCCATCTTTTCTCCTGGATTGCACAAGCGACTTAGCTAACCGACGATTACCCTTTTCACTATATAACTTATCAGCTGCTATATGAACGGCTACGAAGGTCACAACACCAAAACCCTTCTCGATTAACATGCTACGTGGGCCTGCATGGGAGCTATATGAAATGGAAATATGGAGAAGAAATAGTAAGAATAAGAGTAGCAGAGCATATCAAAAAGTGGAGAAAAAGAGAAGAAAGAGATGGAGAAGAAGAACTCGCGAAGAGAAGACGGAGGCGGGACGTGGACGAGTTGTAATGGGATCATCACCCACCATAAGGGAATTACAGTGTAAAAGAGAGATCTAGCTCATGGCAATAAGGAGAAGAAGAAACAAAGCAGATCTTTGTAGATTCGAAGGTCAAAAACTAAGTTCAACCAAAGCAGATTGAAAAAGAAGATAGTGTGGTGGGGGCAACTTTGGAGGTATGTAGTTGGCAGATGAAACGTCAGTAGGTGCGACGAGGGTACTAACGTGATCATCATCAACCTAAAATTTTAAAGGAGTCAAGTCGTAACCTTTGTTCTACTGGAGGTACAATTTGGAGACCTTGCTTTTCGGTCAAGAAACGCCTGAGTAACCTGCAATTTGAATCCAGAAATTAGAGTGTGCGAGGTGGGGTTTTGAAATAATAATTCCCGATTAACCAAAGAGATTCAGAAAATGATCAAGGTGTCCTTAAAAATATCTCAGTTCAGAGAAGTTAAGGGATTCAACAGTTTATCAATCAGAGTTAGAGTTATATAGCATTAGGAAATTGATCTGCAAGTTGGCCCAGAATCATCAATGTTTAAGATTTTTGAAGAAAACAGTTCCGCTGCAGAGTTTTCAAGGTATCGTTTGGAGGGTTAAACGAAGTCCGATTGAGCTGATATTTGCCGCCCTTTAAGGTGTCATAGGGAACTTCATATTTAATGGTGGGATTGAGCATTGAACTATCAGTTTGTTATTTATAGATGTATTTCCATGCAATATAAAACAGTGTTATATATCTGACAAGTTGCAATGTTTGGATAAAAACGAGCTCAGTTTGAGCTAAAACTTGGCAGGAGTATTCTACACTCGTGGAGCTAGCTCTCAATTGAAGGAGAACCGATTTCAGTATAAGGAGAATTGGGAAACGTGTGCCTGAAGTTCAAGAAGAGAATCTGTCCAAAGAGTAAGGAAAAAGAGTCTCAGCAAGTGGCAAAGGTGAGGGCGTGATCTGTGGAAGCATAGTTCATATTTATATTGTTAAATTAGATGATTCATGATATGTAGGCCTAGATCTGATTGCTAGATTTAGGTTTCATGATGACATACATTATGATATGATATGACATGTTGAATGATATGTGATGATATCAAGTAGGATGATTGATGGTATCATGTAGGATGATTGATAGAAACGTTATGAGTTAACATTATGATGTTATGATATGTTATGTATGGCTGACGAGCCCAAGATAGGAGTGACTGAGCCGAGGCCAGCCTCTATAGTGTAGAGTTTTAAGGCAATCACAAGGATAGTGCCATCTACGCGATGTATAAACCTCCAGTGTATGGAAGTCTTGCTTCATTTGTAACATGATTGATATGTGTTATAGATTGATAAAAAATCAGGTCATATGATTGTTATTGTCTAGGTTTATGTGTTTTGATGAGTGTGATATAATAGTAGAAATATTAATTATGTTTCAGTAGGCAGAGATGATCTCCTTCATTGAGTAATTCATTACTCACCTCTCCCTTTTTTTCTTTTTCAATTGTGCACATTTATAAAGATTAGCGTGCGAGACAAATGGTTCAATCGATAAAAGTTTTCAAAAGAAGTTCTCAAAAAGTACTAGATGTCACGACTAAGTTAGTTGAATCGAGGCATCACATCAATATTTAATATAAAATTTTTAATGTTTTTAATTTTAATTTTGTATATTTTTATTAGTTCTTTTATTATTAAAAATCTCTCATTACTCACAAATTATTTTATTGATATTTGTATATAATAAGTTACAGTTTGGTTGTAGCTTGTTGTGGTACTTTGTGTCTATCTATCCCAATTATTTTAATGCTATTAGTGGCTAGTAGTTATGGTTAGTTTGTGGCAATATGTGATAAATATAGATAGAAATAGAGTCATGTATATAGTATACTTGTAACAATTAACCACAAATTTTGTCCTAATAACGTGGTTACGAATAGGGACAGAATGCCCATAGATAAAAGCTTAATGTTATAAATTTAAATTATGTTAAGTCGTGGCTAACGGTAAAATAATCACAGAAAAATTGACCATAGCTATTAACTACAGCTAAATTTATAGCTAAAATACAGTTTTTGTAGTAAATATTCTTCTGTTCGTGAAACAAAATCTAATATGAAATTTTTCGGAATCTGTTTGCTTAATTAGGGTTTTACGATTTATTGGGAGCAATTTGATCACGTGTTCAACATCGTTGCGAGAAGACACTCTTTGCCATCAAGGAACACAATAAAGCTACTGTATGTCTTTTTAAATTATCACTAATTTAATTCGCTGCCGGAGAATTAATCCTCAAATTTATACTCATTCAGGGAACAAAACTTGTGTTCGTGGAGCACGTACGGGCAAATTACCAATTTATTAGTGGTCTTATCTGTTACTTAACCTTCTGGGCTAAAGATGTGAATTCGTCCAGAGCCGAAAATCTATCAAGCAAAAATTTGTTTGGTGGAATTTGAAGAGCAAACCCTCTGGACGTTGTATTTTTGTGTTATTTTTAGACACAAACACAAATAATCAAAATATCGCACTAAACAAAACACATATTTCTTGTTTCTCTCTACCAGAACTAGATCAAACTAAACCGGACCGAAAGGGTTATTCTATTCTGCTGTACTGACATTTTATGCAATATATCTTATAGACCAAATCCAATTTAAATGTATTCTTCTCATTGTTGGCAAAAAAAGTAGGAAAGTTTTCTCATTTTAATTTTCCTTACTTGCAAGACAAGTAGTGTAGTACACGTGAGAAGAAAAACGAAAAGGATGCTGAGGCAAAAAAAAAGTACAACAAATCCTCCACCAACCGTACCGCTAAGCCAAGGCATTGAAACCAAACACTGATAGGCATAACTCAACTGTAGCTACCCTTTTTTGACCATCTTCTCTTTTAATTCACTTCTTTATTCATTTTAAATCTTACTCTATCTCTATCTACACACACACTGACACACACATCCTTAAGCACCAATTTTTTATTAAGTCACATTATGCACCATTTTACATCTGATTTTAGTCTAATTTAGAACACCGGAACACATGCATGTTTGTTCCTACAAAAGGAAATTAAAAGGTTACCCTATAATTAAATTAAACTACAAAATTAAATTGTATTGTAGAATTTAGTTTTAGCTTGTACTACTTTCTATTAATATATTTAAGGATATTCAATTTATTTCAAAATTTTCACCACGTATAGTGAATGAGTTGGTATAGCATTTATACTACGCATCTCAAAATATTTGTAGATCCTGTTCGAATTTTGATTTCAGACATATTTTGTATGACCAAAAGAAATTTGAAAAAAATTAGGATATGTATATAAGTTCGAACATCCATTTGTTTTATATAAAATCTCTAAAGTTTTAAAATAGATATTAAGGTATATATATTCATGGTCAAATATATAATTTTTTTTACGTTTAGTAAAAACAATAAAGATTCTGTCCAGCTCTGCTGCACATATTCTAACCAAAGTACATGCTTAGACTCAAAGTACAAAATTCTAAGAGAGAAAAATTCGAACACCGGAACATATGCATGTTTGTTCCTAATAATTTGAGTACCTTTAAAGCATATGTTATACACGTACACATTTTCTAGAATATTAGCCTCTCTAATCTTCCTCTAATGGCTTTCCTTATATAAACCAAATAGTCCCGCTTCTTCTTCTTCATCAAATCCTCAAACAACTTCAACAACAAAGAGTGCTTTTTTTTAGGCCTAAACACACAAAAGAAAAACCTTTAAAAATGGAATTCTCCAAGAGACTCGTTTTCGCGTTAATCTTTACGGTTTTTGCGATGGTTAGGCTCTCAGAAGCTGCTCTTGATGCTCATTACTATGATCGATCTTGCCCCGTTGCGGAGAAAATCATACTTGAAACCGTTAAGAACGCTACTTTGTACGATCCCAAAGTTCCTGCTCGTCTTCTCAGAATGTTCTTCCACGATTGCTTCATCAGGGTATATATGCTTATTCTTTCTTTGATCTTCAAATATGATCGTTTTGACTTTTGAGTGTTGAGTTAAATGTTTGGTTGGGTTTGTTGTAGGGATGTGATGCGTCCATTTTACTAGATTCGACTCGGTCAAACCAAGCTGAGAAAGATGGTCCTCCAAACATTTCGGTACGGTCATTTTACGTGATCGAAGATGCTAAGACAAAGCTCGAAAAGGTTTGTCCTCGTACTGTGTCTTGTGCCGACATAATCGCCATCGCAGCCAGAGATGCTGTCACCTTGGTGAGTCGTCTTAATTCCCCTTTATACTTTAGATTGTAGATTTTTAATATATTTAATAATATTTTTCACATTTCATAGTCCGGTGGTCCTTACTGGACCGTACTAAAAGGTCGAAAAGACGGGACAATCTCACGAGCCAACGAGACAATCAATCTCCCAGCACCAACGTTCAACGTGTCTCAACTGATCCAAAGCTTTGCAGCAAGAGGCTTGTCGGTGAAAGACATGGTCACACTCTCTGGTGGTCACACGATAGGATTCTCCCATTGTTCTTCCTTCGAGTCTCGTCTTCAAAACTTTAGCAAACTCCACGACGTTGATCCTTCTATGAACTTTGCGTTCGCGCAAACGCTGAAAAAGAAATGCCCGAGATCATCTAACCGAGGCAAGAACGCAGGGACGGTCTTGGACTCTACTTCTGCGGTTTTCGATAATGACTACTACAAGCAGATTTTGTCCGGGAAAGGAGTGTTTGGGTCTGATCAGGCGCTTCTAGGTGATTACAGGACTAAGTGGATCGTTGAGACTTTTGCTAGAGACCAAAAGGCTTTCTTCAGAGAGTTTGCAGCTTCCATGGTGAAACTTGGAAACTTTGGAGTCAAGGAGATAGGAGAAGTGAGAGTTAAGTCTCACTTTGTCAATTAAAAGCAAAAAGTCTACACAGAACAAGAAAGCAAATGAGAGTTTTCTTTTCTTCATATTTGATTTCATTTATATATTATAATAATGTAAACTCGGCAAATGTATCGACCGGTTTTAAACCATATATAGACTAAAGCCCCCATGAGTTTGCTTTACAACTAAAGTTGTTCTGCTTCAGTTTAACATCAAACCGACATGAAGAAAATGAGTAGTCATGGCTTGTAATAAACGCCGAACCAGAGGAAACATGAACTTCATTCAATCATTCGGGTAAATAGCGATCTACACAAGCTTAATCGATGGTTCACAATGATGTATGAAAGTAACCATGTGAGAAACAACAAAATACAGAGAGAATTTGAATCAGTGTTCTTCATGCAAAAACAACATCAGAACGGAACACATACTTGACTCCCTTGGTGACATTTCTCCCTTCGTGCAACATGCACTTGTCTCCATGGATGTGAAACAGAGCCATACCTTCCATTGGAGCTACCTGCGATAATAAAGCAAGTTTTTTATTTGATGGTACATCGAATAATATATAAAACCAAAACAAGAGTACTATTTGAGGAGTTACCTCAGCTACAATACTGTTCCTTGAACCATAAAACACAGTTTCTCCACCTACTAAAGGCTCATCTGAAGTAGAAGAATCATTACTCTTGCTTGAATTGCTCTTGGATTTAGATTTCGTGCTGTTCCCGCTTAGATATATCAACAATGTGTAATAAGTCCGGTTCCCATCTTCAAGATCAACACTTTCATCAATGTGACGACCAAAATGCTGACCAGCACTATACCTGAAAAATTTAACCAAAGGATCATCATCAATCATGTAATCTTCACATTGTGTTTGTGGCAAAGATAAAGAATAAAACTTTCAAAAGTGGGAACAAGTTTTTGAGATTGCAAAACCTGTAAAATCGAATGTTTGGATTCAACCCAACAGCAACTTTCCTCCTAATCTTGATATCAGTAAATAGATTCGAAATCCCTGATTGCCATAATGTATTAGCAAGAACAGGATCGTTCACTGAGATTCGATGGTTATCTCTATAAGCTTCACCATAAGCTGGGCCACGACTTCCTTGGTGAGTGAAACCGAGAGACTCTGCGATTTTCACAAAGCCCTTTGATTCATCTGAAGTTAGACAGTTCTCCACCTGAAAATTGTCATCTTCAAAGTTTAAACCTTTTCAAGCAAAAAAATGTGTTTTATTACTTACATTTTGCATAAACCAAGCTATGAACATCAAACCCACGTCAACATCAAAACCAAATCTTTGTAATAATCATTAATTCTAAATAAAGTATAGATCTTTGTTGGTTGATCCTCAACATAACCAGCTCCAAAATTAGGCTTATTAGTAGGAATAAGAACTAAAAAAAATTAAGAAACTGAATCAATTTCAACTGAGAGGTAAAACCTCACTAAAGATTCAGCCTTTTGTTCAGAACATTCGCAAGCAAAATTGTATTTTGCAATTCAAATCTTATGGCTTTAACCCAGATTGATTCGAACAAAGTTGAAGCTAATTGACGATAATCTTGAGTAGCAACAATACCCATCTATTCGATTTCAAAAAGATAATGTAATCGCGATAAATTTTTACAGCTTTGTTGTTAGGGATTTCTCCACAAACTAAATTTGGGGGAAATTAACGGAATCCGCTTTGATGAGTTTTGTTGAGGAACTTACGGTGAAGAGATCAAGATTCTTCAGATAAGAAACACTGAGATTCGGTTTGAGTTTGATCTTCGGCCACTTGATTGTTGAAGCCAATTCTCCATTGTCTCCCATCTTCGCGATTTTACTACCTTTCTGGGGAGGATGTAAGATCAAAGAATTTAAATTTATTAAATTCATTTATAATTTAGTTTCTCAGCTTAAATCGAATAAAAAATCATATGTATATTTCTCGTGAGGTGAGTCTCAATAAGCAGACCCACTGATTTGTTAAAGCCCAAGGCTTTGCACAAGCCCATCAAATAAAGATTAATTGAAGGATACCACAACATAAATCCACCATGAACCGCTGAAAAGAGAAAACTTTGATGACATCAAATACATTAATGTCGTTTTCTTTCAGCTACTACAATTCTACAACAACTGGATTTTACAGATCATATAAAAGAGAAAAATGATCTTGTTCAAAAAGCATTTTAATGTGATCTCATCATCACTTAGATAGACAACATACTTTATAGCTCTTGACCATGTTTGCTAAACTTTTTCTTCACTATTGCTACATGGTCTTGAGATGATGGTCAGAGAGTGATGATGTGTCATAGTTATTCTCTTCATGCAATGTTCTAAGAATCATTTAACCAATCTAATTCTAGACTAGTTCGACCAAATATTTTTTTAAAACACCGAGGAAAGAGTGTGTGGCATAAAAATATTTCATATGTTTTATATGTGAAGATAATAGGAAGAAGTGGGTGTTTATGTAAATATATATAAATATAGATTTATATTCAAATTTTTATTTATATATAATCTAATATGTGATTCATTTTAATTCGGACTGGACCTTTTATCTGATCGATCATATAAGAAATTTTGTGATTCATTCCGATTATTATATATCTTTTATGAGTATATGGACAGCTATCATATAAGAAATTTTGTGATTCATTCCGATTACTATATATCTTTTATCAGTATATGAACAGCTATCTCTCAAACGCAGATTTAGGTTCTGCCTCAATAATAGAAAAAAAAAATGAAACACTTAACAACATATTTTTACATACTAAGAACTACGAGATCACTCTTTTAGTTTTGGTGAGATGAGATAAAAGGGTTTTTCTATTTAATCCATAATTAAGAATGACTAATTTGGCTTTCCAAGAGCAATCAAAATGCGTCTACATTCATGAATTATATACATCATAGATTGATGAGAAGCAGTGTTAATGGAGAGCCGAGAGTTTAAAAAAAAAAAACAAAATTAAAAGAAGAAAGAAGAAATCATATTCCCTTTATCACTGATTTAGATTTGGACACAATACAAGTTACTTTATTCCACTTTTTCTCATATTTCGACACATACTCTATGATTTTTCTTTTAAAAGAAAAGAAGAATGTTACTAAACATAACAAATAACCGAGTAAAAGGGCGAAAAAAGAATCTGTGTAGTAGTACAAGACGAGGTCACATGACACAGAAGCTGACTATTATCTGGGGAAAATTTAAAAAAACATACGTGTCGTAATATAAATGGTTAACTGTGCACGTCATTGTACGATGATGTCGACACTGTGATCGAGAACACTATTCTTTTTTTTTTATGTATTATTTATATCCATCCACTCTTCTGTCAAAAGAGAAAAACAAATTATTTCCGTTTTTTAATAATTTAGTCGCTTATCTATCCAAAACTATTTTTTATAAACGATTCTTTCTAGTAAATTTAACTGTTTCCTTCTGCTCTCTATTCTTAATTTTACCAAAAACAGATAAAGTCATGGACATTTCTTTAATCAGAGGACTCACTTTAATTTGTTGAGTTATTTTATCTATTCTATTGTTCATCAATTATTAATCCAACTAGCATCTCCATAAGAAGAAAATGAAAATCTCTTTTCTTCTATTTTTCTCTGTCCAAATAGTCAGAACAAAAAAGCAAGCTTAGACTTTAGGGTTTGTGGCTCCTGTACAAAGACACAGAGGTATACACAGAGCATCATAAGATCTAGCTCATGCCTCTTTCTGAAATTATAGTTCTAGGGTTTAACTTGTCCACCATTTTTACGCTTATGTTCTTTATTTTCTTTGTGCTAATTATTTCTTATCTAGAAAAATAATTTTGTCGGCTGATTTTCATCTTGAAAAAAGTTATGTTCTTTGTGGTTTTGGAAGCTAATCTAGACAAATCTGGTTTTGAATCGCCACAGTTTATCTTCACCTTGACTTCTGGCTTTGAATCTCCTCGTTTTTCAAGAAACCATTTCTTGGTTTTGTCTAAAAGATATTTCATTTAAATTTGGCTTTAGTTAGGGTTTCAGTCTGATCTTGTAATTAGTATTGCAGGAAAGATGGTGAGAGGAAAGATAGAGATCAAGAAGATCGAGAACGTGACAAGCAGACAAGTCACATTCTCCAAGCGAAGGAATGGCCTCTTTAAGAAGGCTCATGAGCTTTCGGTTCTATGCGATGCTCAAGTCGCCGCCATTGTCTTCTCTCAGAGCGGACGATTATACGAATACTCTAGCTCCGAGTAAGATTCTTTTATCTAATCTAGTTGTCAAATTTTACTATATGTCCAATTCCTAATCTTTCTCTACATTTAGAGATTAATTGAGTGCCTAGCTAGAACTTCTGTGGTTAATAGTTCTATCTCTTTCTGGTCAAATCGTACTAGAGATTTTGCAATATACACGTTAAAGATTTGGCTCTTTTTTGTCTTTTTTTTCAGCTAGCTAGTTTCTGACTTTTTGCCAAAAAATGCATTTTTCTCACATTTTAATTTTATTTTGTTCTTTTTTTCAGTACTTCTGGTTCTGGATTTTAATTTTATGAGCTAAAGCTTAAGGATACCAATTAATTGCAAACTTTAAAAGTTTAACTAAAGGGTTAGTTGTTCTTCAAGCACGAGCAAGTGGATTAGGGTTTTCAGAAAAGAGGTTTCTCGAACAGTGAACCTCGTATACATTGGAACTTCAACTGATACCCACTTGACATCTTTTTTAGAATATTCAAAAAGAAAATCAATTCCGACAGTAAAATCACATTGTAAGAACATAAAATCCTATATATATTTTGCATAATAAAAGATTTGAAATTTTCTCCCGGTATCCCAAACTTTTCTTCTAGATTTTCCTTCATGAATATTCAATTTTAGTAGTCTACACAGCCAACCAAATTTCGTGTTATAATTCCCTTTGTATCTGGATTCCGTGCTTAACAAATAACAACCATTTTGCAGAAACCAGTATTGAGTTTGGTGAATAGAAAGACGAATTCAATCACATAATAATGTTTTCCAAATTAGATATTCTAAGTTTATCTATTCTCCATTGACAATCATGGTAGTCCGTATAATTATGTACTGTATATTTTTGAAAATGTTCACACATAAACCTGAACAGAATAATGATAAAACGAAAAGAAATTACAAATAATTTGTTTGTTCTCTGCTAATATAGTGATATTATTTTCATTCAGAATATTTATCAGTTTTTAAAATTTTATGGGTTTAAAAATTGATTGCACGATGTATATCCATACGATATTTCTTATGTTAATTAAGTATGTACCTTCTGTTTAAATTTATATAACTGTTGACAAAAATGATTTTACTATATACTAAGACCATGTTATTAAAAAGTATAATAAGAAACAATGAATCGTCTTTAACCAACTAAAATTGTGTTTTCAGTTTTTTTTTCTCCTATTTGATCATTCAGTTATCCCGCAAATCTTCTATCTAGCTGTTATGTTAGGCAAGCGCATAACTTCAATCATCTGCTAAATATTTGTTTTTTGCATTTTAATCATTCATTTGTTTCACAATTTTGTTTCAAGATTATTCAGCTAATGATTTTCTCATTCTATTGGTTTTCTTATTCCATGATTTATCGGTTCAGCTATTTAGCTAGTCTACTAATATTTCGTCACATAACCCCATAAGATTTCATCTCAAGAATGTTATTATCCTCATCACTGATAAAGGAAGCATCATTACCACTACTAATTAGGAGGCATCTCTTCTAAATTACTTTTTTCAGGATGGATAAGACGATAGAAAGATATGGCAAGTTTAGTAATGACTACTTTGTGCCAGGGAGGCCCCAAGTAGAACTATACTTGCAGGTTCATTTCTTTATATATCTATACCTATTCTTGATTCTAGTTTCTTCTTTAACTAGAATGTTCGGCATTTTTTGGGTGTGTGTAGGAGCTGAAGAAGGAGATGGATATAATGGTGAAGAAGATTGAACTCCTTGAACTTCATCAACGGTTCGTATGTGGTTTCCATATGCATTATATATAAACATACTTTGTTTCAATCCTGAAATCAACTGTGTGAATGCCATTATATATAAAGGAAGCTAATGGGGCAAGGTTTGGGATCGTGTTCAGCGGCAGAACTTCAAGTGATAGACACTCAGATTGAGAAAAGCCTTCGTCTAGTCAGATCAAGAAAGGTACAAACCATACATATACATGATGTATTATATATAAGAATATGTGAATAATATACATGTTAAATATGTAATATTTGCTTCATCGGTTCATCTTGTACGTAGGCTGAGTTATATGCAGATCAACTAAGGAAGCTAAAAGAAAAGGTATTTTTCACTTAGTAACTTATATCATATATAAAATTTTAATTTATGGGATGTTTTGTATTTTCCATGCGATTATTATGGATCATTATTTCTCGGAATTTAGGAGAGAGAGCTCCTGGACGAGAGAAGAAGGCTACATGAAGAGGTAAATACATACATACACTCATCACAGGATACACCTAATAAAACATAGACTTACAAATGAAACTCATTTTCTATCTCAACGTTTAGCAAGAAGTTTAGATGCATAAAAAGTTCATCGCATGTTTACATGAAGATTAATTGATTTCAGAACTATTGAGGCATTGATTGTTTGTTTGAGTTTGCATTTAACTCCGTTGTCAACCTAAACGCTAAATGCAAACTGAAAAAAACCTTCCATTTGTGTTTAACTTAATTGAGTTTGCATTTTGCAAAAGTATTTTATGGAAAATATAATGTTATATACAACAACAACAAAAGAAAAAGAGAAAAAAAAACTATTTTTTTTATATAACCGGAAACAAGAAAAAAATGCACTTAAAGCATTTGAAAATTTAGCGTTTTTCCCCCTACACACACATATGCTCTATATAAAATGGCATGAGTTCACTAATATTAATGATCATGGCTCCTCTTAGGGTACTCGCATCGGTTGCTCTAAAACTACGTTAGGGTATATATAATATATGAATCGCTCATAATATATAACTAACTCTCTTCGAACTAGATTGTATCACAAACGCTTTTTCTGTCATCTGGTTTAATTGTTATATTACATGTAAAGAAAACATAGGCAATAATAGGTCTATATGTAAATGTATGTATATATATCGTTTTGCCATTTGTGATTTTTTTTATACATGATATGAAAAGAAATGTATACTTTACTTTCAGGAAATTAGAGAAAGGTTGGTGCGACCAAGGCTGCCAGTAACCTTACATAGTGAGAAAGATGAAACTGAGAGTGGTTGCAGAACCAAACATTCATCAGAGGTCGAAACCGATCTATTTATTGGATTGCCCGTGGCTCGGGTATGACAGATTTGGCACGTTCATTAAGTATGCTTATAGTTTAATTACTTCGATTCGATGCTTGTATACTAGTAGTAATAGAATTTTATACTTCATCTAATTTTTGAGTGTTATGACTGTCTCTTATATATGTATAAACAGGTAATAATTTGACATGTATAAGTTCGTCACTTTGGTTTTTATTATGGAATATTTGTGACATTTTGTTCCTATGTAGATTAGAGAGAGACATTAAAATGGTAATAAGACCGTTAACGTGAGATACAAAACGCACAATATTATAGGCTGCAAGCATTTTCTAATGACCATATATACACAGACACAGCCCACAAACTCAATTTTATTCTTCTAGCAAATGCTTCATGTTTGACGTCGCACTACAAAAAAACAGGTGTATTGTATCGCTTATTTTAAATATTTATATTAGTTATAATTGATACAAACAGATTTTACATCACTTGTAAAACTGATTCTGAATGTGGTGATGCAATAATTAACATTAGTTAGCTATTAATTGATGTAAATATATTTTATTTTTGCTATCGATTGTTGAAATTGATGTCAATATGTGTCAATTACAAAAAAACTGATGCTATCATTTGCATCAATTTTTATTAATGATATTAGTATTTATGATGGATATAATAAATGATGTTAAAATTAGTTTAATTTAATATTATGATTATATTCAGATGTTAAAATAATTTATTATTATTTTTATAAATATTTGTAAAATTATTATTTTAATCCAAAATTTTATGCATCAATAATTTTATGATCTTTCAAAAAATTTGAAATTAATTTAATTAGTTAGTAAATGTAAATATAAGGTACTTAAGTTTTGATATATATAGACATATTTTCTTTTTTCTTTTTTTTATCAACTAGCGATATGGGACAAAATACAAAAATTAGTTACATCAGTTTTAACTGATATAAAATTTATATTATTTTTTAAATGATGTTACCAAATTTATTGATTATATCGGTTATTTAACTGATTTAAATACATAATTGTATATCAATTTTATTTTGTAAGTGATGTAAACTAATATAAATTTGTATCAGTTTTAGAGAACAATTTGCAAAATATAATAAATTTAGAAATATATAATAAGTGCTAAAATTAAAGATAAGCAACATAAATAAATTTAACACAACAAATACAAGAAATTTAATAATCTTCTAAACTGTTTCATAATCCACCAAGATTATTCAAAAATTATCCAATTTAAGTTAATGAGGGAGAAAATTTCCTATGGCAAACAATAAATTAAATAAAATTTATTTATAAATTTTAGAAATAGAATATATTAATAATAAAATAGAAATAAATTTTATTTAAAATATTCTTTTTTGGAGTAAAATTGGAGATATATATTTGAGCGAACCTAATTCTATTTTAGAAGTAAGAGTGAAAAGTGAAGCTATACATTCCAGATGGATGGTCTAAGTGTAGAAAAAAAAAAAAAAATCTGAGAGACAAATGTCATAGATTTGGAACCGTATACATGCACCTTAAACATAATGTCATTAAAAGCAAGATTAATAAAAACTCAAACTCAAACTTGGATCTTAATTCTAACAATTCAGATACTTTAAACAAGAGATAAATGAGGTGTTATTGGTTCTTGTATTTTAATGGATTTGAGAATCCAAACCAAATTCAGTGTTATTGATTCTTGTATTTTAAAATCTATATTGAAATACAGTGTTATTGGTTCTATGATTTTAAAATCTATAATGAAATACAGTGTTATTGATTCTATCATTTTAAAATCTAAATTTTATAAAGATTTTGTTTTAATTGAATTTGAATGAATTTGGAAGGATTTTCATGACTAAAATACAAAGACTCAAATACAAAGTCTAACCTTAGTAGGGGTTATTGGTTCTTGTATTTTGGTGGATTTATAAATTTTCTTTGGATTTGATGAATTTATTGATTTCAAAATCAGAAAAATAAAAAAAATCAAATTCACTCAAATACCAAGGTTAGATCTTGTATTTGGGTCTTTGTATTTTAATTATGAAAATACTTCCAAATCCATTCAAATTCAATTAAAACTCAAATCCTTATAATATTTAGATTTTAAAATGATAAAACCAATAACACTGTATTTCATTATAGATTTTAAAATCATAGAATCAATAACACTGTATTTCAATATAGATTTTAAAATACAAGAACCAATAACACCAAATTTGGTTTGGATTCTCAAATCCATTAAAATACAAGAACCAATAACACCTCTTTAGTATTTGAATGGATTTGATTTTTTTCTATTTTACTGATTTTGAAATCAATAAATTTATCAAATCCAAAGATGATTTCTAAATCTACCAAAATACAAGAATCAATAACCCCTACAAAATATCTAAATAATTAATAATTTAAAACATAGGGATAAATCTGAAAAACCAGATTTTCTGTAAGTTATCATATTGATTAATTTCTTGGTTATTATTATTTATTTATTTTTAAACTTAATTTCTTGGTTAGTTCTTCAATTAGAAAAGAGAAAACCATTTCTGAATTTTAATTTTTTATTTCATTTCTGTGATCCGTTTGCTTTAGTCTCATCAAATCTTTCACCTGTAGTTAGGGTTTCCATAAAGATCGATTAACAAATCTCAACCGTGGGGTATATACTACTTGTTACATAAATAAAAGACAAAGCATTAAAAAAAATAAGTTAAACAGTTTCAATCATAGATAAAAACTGGAAGCTTTTTAAAAAGACTTCTAAAACTGGAAACATATCAAAACTAAAAGAATAATTTATAAATAAAAAAACTTTACTCTAAAAAAGTAAAAGTAGATACATAACTATATTTGATAAAAAAAAAAAAAAAAAGATACATCACTATATATAACTTTAAATTAGGAGAAGATATGAAAGTATGTTCTCTTCATTGATTATGATTATATTCATCTTGTCAATATGTGTCTTATGTACATCGAATAAAATATGAAAGTATTCTTTTAATCATAAACTCTCATCACTCTATATTACTACCCTATTTAGTACTGATGATAAAATCGATTTTTTAAAGTTGTAAATGTGTTTATTTTGGATTTGTGGTTTTGTAAGGATGCTGATGGGGCAAAGTTTGGCTTTTTGTTCGGTGAAGAAACTCCAGGACATATCCACACAGATAGAGAAAAGCCTTCATATTGTTAGATCAGAAAAGGTAAGACATACAAAATGCATGAACCAAACAAAATAATATATAAAATGAAAATGAGATGTTTCTTTCGTTGTATGCTCGCTTACTTGTCTTTTGAGTACTGGTAAGCTAAGTTATATGAAGATGAAGTAGAGAAACTAAAAGCCAAGGTTAGAATAATTACAGTTTGATTTTGTTTGGATTTGTCCTTTGCCGTGTGATATTTATTGATCTCTCTTCTTTTTTTTTTGTTAAAATATTTATTGATCTCTCTTCTTTAAAAATTAGGAGAGGGAGCTCAAGGACGAGAGAGTCAGGCTTTGTGAAAGGGTATGTACCATATGGTCCATATTACTATTACATGTGCATATATAGGCATAGACATAGAGTCATCAATGCGTACAAACTGATCAACAACATTGTAACTTGAACCCATTTACATTTACAAAAACAATTCAACTTATGTACTGTGAAAATTGTAAAATACTATGACATATTAGTATTATGCACTTGCTATATGTTTGGCCAAAAAGTGTTTCTTTTTATACATTTATCATGGTTAGTGACTTATATACATAGATACGCCATGGTAAATGATTCTTTTCATTTTTTATTCTCTATTTATTAATCCAAATCTATACACTCTCAAGTTAGGTTGGAGAAAGACCAATGGGGTCAGGAAGCAAAGAGAAAGGTGATGTAGAAACAGACCTAATTATTAGATTTTCGAAGAGACGACCATAAGATATATATATATATAGTTAAACCTGTTTTATCTTAGCTAAGCTCAGAACAAATATGTAATTTAAATTTTTTGTAAAAAAATCCATAATGTAAAAGATAACTGTTCGTTTTCCGTTTTCTTAACCGATATGTTTTATTTATGTATTTAAATATTCTAGTAATTTGAAAAATTTGTAGAATTTTTAATTTTGTGGTAGCTGAGCAGTTGATATTTATGGAATGTTGTGGCATTTGAAATTGTTCCTAGTGGGAAAGTAAATGTAATTCCTCAATGCTCATTAATTGATCGACGTCCCTATGCTCCCTAGCTACTACTATAGAAAAATAAACAATTACTACTTTTGTTCTTAGTTATAGACTTATATTCATAATAAAGTATCACTAAATATCGACTCAGCAATTAATATGAGTTTCAAATTGGGATATTCTGGTTACCGAAAAAAGAAAAAACCATTTATGAGCCCTTATTTAACTTCCATTATGCATGTGCGGGCATGAACAATTTTAAAAATATAATTATCTAAATACAATATTTAAATCCGTCTTAGATATTTTAATTTTTTGTAGTTTATAAAACTCAAAGTTGGTATTTTGAATTATAAAACTTTAAATTTAATGGTAAAATATGATCTAGTTTTAACTAAACATTTTGTTATAATAAAATGTTAATTTATATTTTGAGACAAACTTGAAAAATAATAATTAAATTTGGAAAACACAAAAATTATTTTTCGATGAACAGGTTTTGTAAAACTTGACCCTCTATTTTAGAGAGTCAAATGGGTCAAACCCGTGGATAGTTGGTTACTTTCTTTGAATTTACGGATCAGACTATAAATTTTATCTTCTCTGTCTTTTTTTTTGAACAAACATTTTTCATTTTCTTTGTCTTCCTATAATCTTCTTCAATTTAAAGCATTATTTCTTCAAGGATTCTGTCATTATTGGTTTTGGTCTACTCATATGTGCGATTTTTCTACTTATTATTTTATCAAGTAGACTCTATAAATAATTGCAAGATCATCTCCACTTAAGCATCAAGTGCTTCAACTAACCCTATTGCAAGATATGTTTCAGCGAATGTTAGATATAAAACTCCATTTACTGTCCTGATACTTTGAAGCATATTGGTCCTCTCTGAACACTTAGCAACATTTTAAGGTAGAGAAGCTCACCATATTCTTCTAAAACTTATGGAAGGCTGATATCGTAGGAAACATTGTTTTCTATTGCGCAGACGAGGGAGCCACTTCTTAATTTTTTGATGCCAAATCCATTTGTTTGGAAATTTAGTGTAGCAATAAAATTTTGCTTCATTACACTCATGATTGGAGTCTATCCAACCTTCAAGTTTCATTTTAGCCATATTCAATTTAGGTAAATGTATTGGTAGAATTGTCATGTCCGCACTTTGAGTTAAGGTTTGATTTGTTTAATATTCATGTATATTGTGATGTTTTATTATATAAGGGCCCAAATATTTAACTTTTTTACTATGTAGTTATTTGGGATGAACGTGATTTTATATGGATCTTTTTATTTTTATTAAATGGACATTAAACTTTTTAAATAATGTAGAGGATTATAATTTTGGTTTTTTATTAGATGCACGTTGGTTTTTTATGATATCTAACGTTTGTTAAGAAAAATAACAATAGAGGATTATTAAATTGAAATCTTATATTTATATTTGTTACTATTTTTAAACTAAACTAATTTTAAATTTTGAATGTTCTACATAAGATCATATAATAATACTTATTTTGTTATTATAATTTTGCCACCTGAATTATGTGAAAACATATGTGCACGTAAATGGAATACCGCTTTTACAAAAAATATGAATTATTAGGTAAACGATTTGATCAATGTGATTTTATTATTATAAATTTGCCTACTGTGAAGTATATGAAAACATATGTGCATGTATTTCATATGAATATAGTACTATAATATATATGTAAATATGTGTACATATGGAAAATCACAGTGGTCCACGACAGACCTATAGTAAAATTTATAGGTATATAATATAGTATTATTCATAGTATTATAATATATATATATGTATTAAAATCATCACGTTCAGTCCATAATTCATCTATTATTACCTATATAGATGAATAATAATATCAGACTATTCGTAATGCATCTGGCGAATCATTCCAGATTTAGTTATTAGTAGATTAAATTTTGTCATCTAATTAATTTTTTATTTATGGAAATATCACAAAAAAAATATTTTGCCATGTCATCAACCACATGTGCTAGTAAATGACATGTCACAATTACATCATCATTTTCATGTCATATTTAATTAGAGTAGACAAATGATTTTAACCAATCAGATTAAAACAAATCAGTATTTTTTATTAAACTACATTCTCAATTAATAGGTAGAAGATTTGCTATTTGGCTATTTCTAAAGAAAAATATAATGATCTATTTTTTCATCCAAGAAAGTATAATGATTCATATATTATATTATCATCATCATAAATATAAAAATCAATGGCCTATGGGAATTACAAGATTAACATACAAATGGCCTAATAAAGACACTATTCTAATACTTAACTCGTCGCATATTATCAGCCCAATTAAGAAAATTATATATAATCTTATAGGCCCATAAACTAAATCACTCAACAACTCCGTTGCCCTCCGTCGTCATTTTGATTCTTCCCCGGTGAATATCCCAACTCCGACGCCGTTTCTCCCACGAGCGCGTCTATGATGTCCCGCTCAATCTCCGCGATGATCTCTTCTTCTCCTTCCTCTTCAAGCTTCTTCGTCTGTAGAAGACGATCAAATTCCACTGAAGCGACATCTTCTGGAACTGGACAACGCTTACTGCTAAATCCCGATACATCGGAACAGAGCTCGCCGATAAGCTCCGATACATGATAGTTACGGCGTCGTTCCACAGTTTCCATCAGAATCTCGTTGAATAGATCGAACAAAAGCCTTCGATTGCATCTAAGAGCCAACGATCCCGATTGATTTTCTCCTGAGTGCTCTAGTTTCTGGAAAATCGAAGGATCGAGCATTGTTGCAGAGGAAACGACTAAGTCAGTGTTGATTCTCGCGAGTTTCATTATTCTTGTGATGTAGTCTTGTTCAGAATCGATTACGACTCCTGAAACTGCGGCTGCATCGTCGAATTTGAAATTCTTCGCTACTTGAGGACTGATCTCCTCGATTTTGTGCATGAGACTGGAGCATATCGATGCTTCTTCATTCGATTTCGTTCCTTCTCCTACGGTTTCGTTGATCTGTGAAGAAAAGAAACACGAGAATGGGTTTTAATCAGAGCTTGAAAGATTAGTGTGTGCTGGAGTAAGAGAAGAGTACCTATCAAGTGTTTGTGTTATTCTCCTAATGAAGAAAAAGAAAAAAACACAAACTTTGAACTTTGGGATTACCTGTTTCTGAGGAGGTTCTGTGGCAGAGATGTTGACAAGATCACTTGACTTTGGGGTTTTCTTGAACTTCTTCTTCTGTAAAGGATTACTGTAAACCTTAGCTTTAGCGTCTGTTGATTCAGACAAGAATCTCTCTTGCGGCTTTATTCGAATATCTTCTGTTGGAGAAGGCTTGATGGGACGTGGAGAGAATCTTGTTTCACTCTCCGCCTTCTTGCATTGGCTTATGGGTCTAAGCTCCCTTTGTTTTACTCTTTTCTTGTTCTGTTTCTCTTTGGAGGCTTTCGACACTGGAACTAGTATCACCGTCGTTGGCTTCGGCTTCGGCGTCGGCTTCGACTTCTGTGTGGTTTGTTCTGGTCTGAAAGAAGATGAGGAGTTTGGTTTAAGCCCGGCGCTTGTTCTGTTCTCTTTATCTGAAAACCTTGTTCTTGGTGAGTAAGAAACTGTCGTGTCTCTTCTAAGCTCATTACATGGTCTCGCCTCTCTGTTCTTCACCGAGTTTGTTATATCCATACCGACGACTCTTCTGGTGACGACTCTCTCCTTGATCTGTTTCACAATCTGTCTCGCGTAATCTCTGGGACTCCGATTCTCCTCCTGGTCTTGTTTCATCACTTTCAGCCTTGAACAACCAAATTCTTCATGCTTGTTCAGCTGAAGAGAGAGACGATGAATGTCGAAATCAGATTTACGAGCAGAGGAGATTCTAGGGCTCTCCGGTAAAGATCTGGTACCCAAGCGTGTGCCTTTCTTGGAACTTGTGAGACGGCTTGATCCAGGGTAGGTCATTGTGTGAAGATTTGTGGGTGAAGAATGGTTAAGGTTTGTTTTATCAGGAAGAAGATCAAGACCCATTAGTCTAGCCACCAAGTTTGGTGTTTTGCTCCCTGGTGAGTTGCAAATTTCAGATGAAGAAGTTGAAGTATCGGTCGCAATAGCTCTGAGTCTTGAACTTACTGTCGCTGTCTCTGTTCTCACTCGCATGCTTACCTGCAAATTTCATGTTCATTTTCAAAAAGATTAGGCTCAATAAAACAAATTAAAGTAAAATCCATTCAAGGTCATTATCAAAAGATTAACTCAACAGAAAAATTAGTAAGTAAAAATCCAATTTTTATTTGAATTTTTTTTACTTACTGGAATGTTCAAACTTTGTTTGTCCTTGTAAGTTGTTGACGGTGGAGATTCTTCTGTAAACTTCAATCCTGAAAATTTCACAATAACATCTCTTCTTTTAGTATCACTTGCTCTGATAATCAATCTCTCAGAACTTGACCATTTTTTTTCTTTAAAACCTAATGAATAATTACGAAATTCAACTTATGTTGTGAGAGAGAAGGAGCATACTATACCTTTTGACCTTGAAGGAGAGTCAATGTTTAGGTGGTGATGATGATGATGAGAAGTGAAATGCTGGAAATCAAATAAGTGATAGAAAGCAGCCATGCATCCATTTGCTGCATTTGTTTTTTTATTTGACGACTTATTAGAGGAAGAGATTGTTGCTCCACCGCCGCAGCCGCCGTGACCACCGAGTTTGTGGCAGTCTCTTCCCATTTGCAGTTTAGAAAAAGCTTACACCTTTTTTTTTCTTGAAGCTTAACTTTTTTTTTCACCTCCTTAACAAAGTGAAAAAGTGTCTGACAAGATAAGTTTTCAAAAAAGATTCAAGAACTCTGCAAGAGCACAAATCCAAGGAATGGTTTTTTTTTTTATCTTTTTTTGTTTTGTGTTTTAAACTTTTTTCTTTCTGTTTATGGTTCATGAGTTTTTACCAGACAAGAGATGTTGGAAGCAGCTCTCTCTCTCTCTCTCTCTCTCTCTCTCTCTCTCTCTCCAATTCTCTACTTGTTCTCTCTCTTACATTGGGAATACTTGTTCTCTCTCTTACATTGGGAATAGAACAAAGGGTGGTGAAGAATATTTAATGTGACAGAAATGTTATTCAAAAATTTTACAGATAAATGAAACTGTAAATAGTTAGTTGTATTTATTAGATAACGATGGCCACGCATCTATCTAGGAACAGACAGCTTGAGTGTCTACAATATCATTATCCATGACCACACTTCATGTCTCTCTTCTTCTCTGTGTACAAATTTGTGGTTTTCAAGTTTTGAACTTACAAATAAATAAATATAAAACTTAAGGTTGTTTCCTGTTTAAGTTTTTTTTTTGTCTTAGGGGATTTTCAAACTCGTGAACCCTTTTTTTTTCTTTAAAATAGTATTGAAGGACTATAATTTTATTTTATTTTAGTTGTGGCTTACGTAACAGAATATTCTCACCATATGTAAGCAGTTTGTTTCATGGTACCGAGATGGTTAGTTAGGTTAATGTACAATATATACATCACCACAGTTTTTCAACTATTGTAGACCTTCGATGTCTTTGTATTTTCTAGATTTTGTCTCCTCTCTTCTTTATCCATCTTTTGAGTTTTTTGGGTTGATTCTTTTGTTTTCTTTGGGGCACAAATTTTCTTACACGTATACTTGGATATAAATAACAAATTTGTTTATTTTACTACATACTCCTGTATATATTTTAAAAAATCAAAATGATAGTAGTATTTAATTATTTCCATTGTAATCCTAAACTATTAATAACGAGTTGAGAGCGTTGACAAATATTTAAAGCTGTGTCTAATCTAAATTAACGTTTAAATTGTTCTTTCCACGCTTTTAGAAATTTGCATTATGTTTTCTTAAAAAATGGTTCAAGTGATCACAAGTACTTTCTCTATTAAAAGTTGTTATTTTTGGAAGTTGAATTTTGCTTTATACATAAAAAGTTCTGTCTGTTTTATAAAGTCATTTTGCATGAAGTCACATGTTTTTGTAGATCATTTGTTTCATTTGGAGGTTAATTCGTGCAAAGGACAATACAACTTCAAATGTCATATTCAATTTGTAAGACGGGGTATGTACGTGGGAGGGTCTCACATGATGGATTCTTGTAAGTGTAAAAAGAAGGATAGATAGTACAAAAATATTCTTATTTGAAATCCATAATATTCCTTTTTGAAAAAAAAGGGCTTTCGTATTTAAATCCATAATATTCAGTTCGTATAGATAGACCAAAGCTTTAAATTTTACTAGATCTTACTCAAATGTGAGTTCTTAAAAAAGCTAAGACTTTATATTCACTTTGAAAGTGATCAAGAATGAGTTGATGATTAATCTTAATTATACGGAAAAAAATTTACATGCATAAATGATTCAAAATAGGCAAGAATGTAAACTTTTTTGTATACTTAAGATCAATCCTCAACTAATTCAAAAAAATCCGTCGAGCGCTTGAACTACCTTTGAGGTCGACGGATCTCTTTGCACCTCAAACACGTATAACTTCAAACGACCATAACTCTCCAGTCCGTACGTAACTTTGGTCACGACGATATAACATTTTTTGTTATCGTTTTGTAAGTGAGAGTGCATCATCTTTAGTCCAACTAAACTTTCCATCTATCATATCGTCGGTGATGACGAGACCATGATGATATAGTTTATGCATCGTTTGTTGGATCGTTGCTTGGAGCATTACATGAATATATTCTTCCATGGTAAGGAATGTTATAATTTGGCAAAGTTCTGCCGAACCACCTGTTGGATTCGCTGCCTCTTTGTTTAAATCCCGGATTTGAGAATGAGTTAAAGGATCGTATGTTTTTTTTTTTGTTTCTATGAATCTAACAGTATGGTAACAATAGATAGTTCAAATTACCGTCAATTTTGCTCCTCTAATCATTGTTTTCAAATGTTGTTAAACCTACTCGACGACCTTTTTCAAAGATCATGGATAAGCATGACAAGTTTTGAAAACAGGTTGAGGAGTTCTTAGCCAAATGTCTTGTGCAAAAGATAGAGTTTTAAGTGTTCTACTCGTGCTAATCTTTAGAAGATAAGTTTTGGCAAATGTGTGTATAATAATATATGTGTCATTGAAAAAATCACTGCCCATTTAATGGTTTCTTATCATATTCGTAATTCTTCGGATGAATTTGTTTAAATATTATATCTATAAATGCTTCCCATCAAATATGCATCCATGAATAAAAACATATTCCAGAAACCGCTAAGAATTATTGGAGTGACTGGTCATGTCGTTATAAAAGCATGTGTCACTAACATTGGTCACCATCGACAACTAGATCTACGTACATAGCCGATAGCAACAAAAAACTTTCAAATGTTATGATCAAATACTGCAAAATGTGACGCTATATGTAACTAGTGATTGTAACTCCTTTAGCTGCTATGGTAACGATTAACGAATTTCCTACAGCACTAATTTGTTGCGATCCTTAAAATCAATCTAGGGTAAGTCAGTAACGAATATACATATACATGTAAGGGCCCTATATATATGTGACAATAATTAGGGTTTTTGAGGATAAATCAAATCTATCGACCTCAGACAAGATCGAATCAAGAAAAGATTGAAAATGATAGTGATAGAAGCTGCCAATGGTAAAATTCAAAAAATAAAATATCCCACTTGGAGAGGAGAAAAGGATATGTATCAGTGTCCTTATGGGGTCAGATCCCATATGTGAAGACCGATGAGTCACAATACACAACTACAGTGAATATCGAATTAATGGGACCATTCTATCCATAATAATGCATTGTTTAATTGTATAATATATAGTTTTGGAGGTCGTGGGGCAAATCATGATTTGTCTTGTTGCTCGCCAATAGTGGAATGGTTGTTTTGTAGGAAAGTCAGTGTTTAGAGTATTGTTGAGGGCAAATCAAGATAAAAGTTTCGTCACCGTACTGCAGGTTTTGCTATGGTCCAATATATTAATCCCGCCATATTCGCGTTTCAATAACTTTTGAATAGATCTTATTCCTCGTGTTTATGTTACCAAAGTATTGAAAGATTGGAGAACATCATCATTGTTACATTTATTTTGTTTCCTCGCACATATTAATTGATGCATATTTGATATTTGGAACCATATACTTCATTTCCCGTCAGAAAAATGAAATTATAAGGGAAACCAATCGTATCTATTTTCAAAAGCTTTTTTAAAAAGTCGTAAAATTAGGATTGGGCATTCCGGTTATCAGATTGGGTTTGGGTCGGTTATTTTGCATTTTCGAATTGGATTCGGTTCAATATCTTTTAGATTTGGATCAATTCAGATATTTAATTTTAGAACTGAAAATATTAGAAAATATTCAAAAAAATCAGAAACTCAAAAATACCGGATTTTTTTTATAAATATTTTGGATTTGAGTATTTTCGGATATTGGTTTGATTTTTTGGTAATTCAAATATTTTTTTTGATATTGGATTAGGTATTACCTGGTACTTCGAACTACATTAAACATTACTCCTAATCTACTATTTTGATGGATCTTAATCTGATTCGGATCAGGTATCGAGTATCAAATCAGATTTTCGGACCTGGATAAAATACTTAGTCTTACGTAAAATAAAAACTTGAGAACCGACCTAAACCGGAATGTCGGACCAGTAAATCAGTGATCCAGTCACTAATTCCGTTCGAGTCCAATGCTAAAACTCGTGACTTGTATAATTGTTTTGAACTCCCCGCCAAAATTGATTGAGTGGTACTAACAGATGATTTTGGGTAGAGATTCAAGAGAACTCATTAGTGTAGATGGTTTGATTTTCAGAAAAAAAATGGTTTGATTTTAAAGCCTTTGATGCACCTAGATTAACTGTTTTGTTTGGTTTTGGACCTTTTGGAATTAAAAATATTCTTAACACCTAATTTTCTACAACTACCATAAAACTTTGGGATCGATTTAGAGACACAATCACACAACCATTTTGGAGTTTGAACGAGTTCGGTCGGTGAGCGACATCAAAGTTGGGCAAGCTCAAAGTACAATGTAGTTTTTTTTTGCCTTCGATCTTCTTCTTATTTCAGTTACGTTTTCCATTTCTTTCAATATAAAAATTTATGATTGATTTTTTTTATGAAGCAAGTTGTGATGGGGGTAATCAATATTGATTAATGATTTTATTGCGATGTTTTATTAGTTTCTCTATATATCTACTATTACATAAAGAGTGAGTGTACCTTATAAATAAATGACATATCAGTACCCTTTCTATGATATATCAACTCATCTATTTATTATTTCTATGATAATATAAAACTCTATTCAAAATTTTTAATGATCAAATCTCAATTAAAAATAAATCTATTTTTCTGTGATCAAAACTGAAATTTACTTGAATCAAAAATTAAATCAAAATCAAATTTAAACATTTATTAAACTCAATCATTTTAGTTAAATTTCTTTTTCTGTAGTTAAAACTCAAATGCACCACATAATATCTCAGAATTTAACGGTTTTTTTTAATATAAAATGTGTTTAATAAGTTTTATTGAAAACAAAAATATAAATAAAAAGTTAACCATAATTACTTTACAAAACAAAAAAAATTATAGCCATAAAAAATCAGAAAACTAAATTAAATTTGAAATAAAATATAGTTAAATTCAAATTTTAGACAAAAAATTTAAAAGAAAACCCACACATTTGTGTGGATACTCATCTAGTATAATTAACGTTTTAGTGTTTTTTGTTTGTCTTAATTTGTATTTAGAATGTATTATCATCATTATTATCATCAAGATTAATTTTTGTTTTTTCTTGAGATTTCAAATTGATGAATCTACAAGTAAAGACAAAAACAATATATGTGATATTTTATATTTAAACAGCATGCAATGGTATCAAAAGGGGTAGTTAGAGAAGATCAGAAATTTATAAATGAAACCATTATTGCATTTGAGTTGAAGACACAAGTAGGAAATTAAAAGAGACAAAGACACATTCAAGATTTTAAGTTTTTAACTACAAAACAAAAACTTGTTAATACTACCAAAACAAAAAAATTGACTGACGTCAATAACTGGGTCTCACTTATGGAGGGAGACTCCCTGACACAGATCGGTCACAGCTACACTTAATGTCTTAAAAAAACATTATTATTTGATATACAGAGGAAGAGCAGGAGCATTAAGATTCACTGTTACTCTTTTGACCTTTCATTTACAAACTATCCTTCAATCTGAGATCAGTTTCAGACTTTCAGTTATCTCTGGCTTGTTTCAGAAAACCCCAAATTAAATTCCTATTTATACAAATTTATTATTTATGTAAAATCGAATATTATGATTACTAGTCATATGAAACTTACCATTACCAATCTAATTATTCTCACATTAATAAATAAACCAACAACACAACATTAGATACCTAAAACTCAAGATGATGATTAAAGAAGCCAAATATGAGTTAATGGTTTTTTCTTTTCAGTAAAACACATATGAGTGATGAGAGGTCTCTGTAGCTTCAGGTCCATCGATGTTTAACGATGAAGAGAACTTACCTGGTAACATTATATATTCGATGAAAATTTCTGATTGGAACAAGGATTTGTGTATTGTATATATTTCATTTTTTTTTTAATTTCTACCATCCACATCGAATCCAGCACCTGTCCAACCTCCTCTGCCTTTGTTCATGATTCCAATTCCTCTTCCCCTTCCTTGAATCTGTGGTTTCTTTTTCGATTTTGATTCTCCTTCAGCTGTTGCTGGCCTTTGTCCATGTTCTTTAGCTCCTTCCTCTTTACCGTTGTTATTTGCTGGTTCTTGCGGATGAGTCTGATTAGCATTGGGTGCTACTGGTGAGCTGTCTACTACAGATTTAGTCTCTGGTTCATGGACCTAAAGAAATGGCACATAACCAGAAATACTCAACATCTTTCATGTATCTATTTATCGCCAAGCAAATACAGTTTGACATTCCATGTAACATGTGCAAAGGTTAGGAACATACTCATGCAGGGATTATCTGGTGTCTCTATTGTTAGATTAAGTTGCATTAAGAGAAACATATGGAAGATAAACTAATAGGAGAGATTGCTTACTTGCTGAATAGAAGTAGATGATCTATTTGGATTTAGCGCTTCTAGTCTTCTTTTCAATTCCTCAAGTCTAGCGTACTGCGTATTACTGCTTTCTTGCACCTACGATTACGGTTTAGAAATAATTGTGACTTCAGTGTCTTTCAATGAGGAAAATGTAATTCTCATCATGAGTTTTGAACAAAGATATGTACCAGACGGTTTAAATCTTCGCAAAGACTCTGCTTCGTCGCTTCTTCATCCCTCACGACTTTTGATGCTGCTTCATATGCCTTAAGAAGACAAAAGACCATACAACATTCAAATAAACGATTCCTAACAATTTCAAGGTGAGTAGAATGCATATAGGTCACAGCACCACACGAAACGCAGTACTCCAGCATTGGAACGTAAAACCAACAACATGATTGAATTTCAAAAGGAAAATAAAAAAATCAGCAAAGTCGTTCATTTAGTCAGTGTATGTAATTATGAGACCATGATATCAGTTATGTCCATTGATCTGACTTATTTCTGCTACTTGCATTGCATCACAGCTAAAACAATAAAATCTCTCGTTCTGCTATGGGGCACAAACAGGCTATCTCTATGCCAAGTGAGGCCATACAAGGAGAAAACGTTGAGATTACATCAGTCAAAAGAGATTAACCTTTCGCGCTTCGTCTTCTTTCAACTTTGCAACATGGATCTTTTCAGTACAGACTTCAATTTTCTTTCTCAAGTGTTCCATTGCTTAAGAAAAGAAGAAGAGAGGGTAAGTTAATCGTCCCTTCCACGAAACAAACCCAAAAACTAAGAGACTGAAACTTGCAAAACCTGCTTTCTTAGGTCCAGCGGTGAGTTTCAGTTCCATCGTGAGGTTTCCGAATTCCCTCTCCACATCCCTTATTTTTGTATAGTTCTCCTCAATGTATCTACAACATCACGGCATAAAGAGGCTCATTAACAGGAAGTTTCATCACCTTCTCAATAAAGAAGCTCACTAAAAAGGAAGAAGACGAGCTCAAGAAACAAGCACATTCGATTCTTAGAGCATCCTAATAGAGATCGTCTTATTCTCTATGAGACTATGGCCATTCTCTAACATATAATGACACAAGGAGAAGAATGCAACATTGATAACGATAAACTCCATCATCAACGATGAGCTCCAGAACCACTAAAAGGAGAATCTCAGATCGCAAGATGCACACACCACATTCCAAATCGATCAAAGCATAATTCCAGGATTAGAAACAACTACTTACTTCCTCAACTGAAGCTGCTCTTCCTCGATTATCTGGTTTCGAAAAACAAAAATCATCAAAATTCGCGTTTAAGTTAAACGAAATCACACGAACGAATTAGTGGGAGAATACAGAAGAACACATTAATCGAGAGAGTAATTTGATAATTACCTTCTCTGTGTAAGCAATAACCAGAGCTTCTCTTGCAAGTCCATCGGGACCGATCTCAGCCTTCAGTTTTGGATCCGAAGCCATCATCTCTTCCTTCCTCTCCAAATTCAAAAATTGATCTACGAAATGCTCCGATTTCTTCTTCCTCGAATTCAAAATTCTACAGAAACTTCACAATTTTTCTAACATTCAAATGATTCACATTACGCGATTCGCGTGTAGTTTCCACTCCTCGCTCTGGTCCGGATCGAGGAAAATGATGGAGATTGAATTTTGACGGCGGAAACAAAGTTTAAAGTTCGTTAAATTTCCACCGAAGACTCAACGTTCCGTTCTTAACGCCGTTAAAAACGTGAAATCTCGGTTATACCCCACCCTCACTCCCAATTTCCCAAACTTCAAGTTTGACTTCAAAATTTAGGTGATCATCACGTGCTACTCACGCTCGGTTCAACATAATTATCGGTGTGTCTAGGGAAACTCCTCGTAAACCGTAAACCGGTTTGACTATCAATTAATAATTCGCTTCGGTATACGTTCACGAGATTTGTCGTTTTAGAGAATGCGTGTCGTTCTTGGCTCAAACTAAAAACGGCAAGCAGTTTACAAAGCAGAGACTTTTGTTTTATGAACTTCTTGAAATGTAGTTAAAACCAAAACACCCCAATTCTAAAACTCCGGGAGATCAAACAACAACAAACTAGAAACACAACATTCTCGAGTTCCTACAAATTGGGAATTAAAAAAAAAAGATACAGAAAACAAAAGGAACAAAAACACAGAAATACAGTGGAAAGGTGATGACTTTGATTCCCTTCAAAAGAGACTTTTTTTAGGAGCGAGAAGAAGAGAGAAGGTCTTGAACAGCATTCATGGTGGGCATCGCCGGAATAGCTCCTCTCTCTGTCACTGTAATGGCTCCACAAGCGTTTGCAAACAGTAGTGCCTCTCTCAGTTTCTTCTCATCCTGCAAATTTCACAATAAAGTATCTTTAAGTTCAAAAAGTCAGAGAAGTAAGGACAATGAAAGAGATGAGTATGTTAAAGTTAAGTACAGTGAGTAGTGTGAGGTCAGAAGCTAAGCTGTTCAATAAACCGCTAACGAATGCATCTCCTGCACCGGTTGTATCAACCGCTTTCACTTTCACTCCACCAACTCTACCTTTAAACTCCTACAAAGATAAACATAGCAAATAAGTAATAATTTAATATTGATTCTGATTGAAGATATTGAAGAAGAGTTTTTAAAAAGACAAGCAAAACCTGAGTGTAGTATCTACAGCCGTTAGGTCCTTCTGAGACAACAAGAAGCTTGAGATTCGGATGAAAGAGCTTTTGCAACACAACTTCATCATCATAAGGATCATCTCCACCAGTCAAGAATGTAATCTCGTCCTCACTAACCTGAAAAAAGAAACTCTCGGACAAGAAGACTTGTGTCATTTCAAACTTCAAAGTACTAGAGAAATGATATGTTCTTTCACCTAAATTTGAGATCATACATACCTTAATAACATCTGCCAAATCCCAGATGCTCATGATCTCTTTCCTTGCAGCTTCTTCTGATGGCCACAAAGGCAATCTCAAATTCGGGTCGTATGACAAGAGACTCCCTGAGGCTTTGGCGATTTTCATAGCTGCAAGCTGAGTAGAGCGGCAAGGTTCCTCGATCAAACTGATAGATCCGTAGTGAAAGATCTTGGCCTGTGTGATTCAAAACAAAACAAAACCATTAGGACTTAAGTCTCAATTGAAAAAAATGTGGATCAAAAAGATTGAAAAGTCTCTAACCTTTTGGATGAGGTTTTTGTCGAGCTCAGATTCCAAGAGAAGCATATCAGCACTCGGGTGTCTGAAGAACAGAAACTCCCTCTCTCCATCAGCTCTTAACGTAACAAAGGCGAGAGCAGTTCTTGCTTTGTGGTCGAATCTCATCCCGGAGTTATCGACATTGTTCAGCCTTAGAATATCAGCTAACATTCGTCCAAACTCATCATCACCAACCTGAAGAAATTCAAAAACTAAAAGATTGGAACTTTTTTGATCAAAAATTGAAAAACAAAGAGCCCCTTTTGATTGTAACAACTCAGAGACCTTTCCAACGAAAGCAGAAGAGCCACCGAGTCTAGAGACACCAACAGCTACATTCGCAGGCGCGCCTCCTGGAGCTTTCTTGAAAGCTGGTGCTTCAGCGAGCGATACACCTCCCACGGTTGGAACAAAATCGATCAACATTTCGCCGAAGCAGACGACGAGAGTCTCTGAATCTCCTGTGTCGATTGTTAGATTCTTGAGATTACCTGTTGTTACTAACCCCAGATATGAAATCAGAATTTCGAATACTAAGAACCTTCGTTTTAAGTCAGATTTCATTTGCAGAAAGAAACGGTGTATTGTATACAAACAGAGATCTATAGAGCAAAACCCAAGTAGATTAATCATCAAAGATCAAAGCTTTAAGGAAAAAGAAACAAACCCAGATAGTTTAATTCCATGGAAACAGAAAACCCAAATCGAATCCAGCTTGGTAAAGATCATTCCACGACGACAGATCAAGAACAAAAGAAACAGTGAAGCGGTGCAAGAAAGAAAGATTTCAAACAGTACCTGAGATGGCGTTCTCACCCATTTCTTCGATTTCAGAGAGATGTTTAGATTCGAAAGAGAAACGGAAACAGAGGGATCTACGAGGAAACAGAGAGAAAACAAATGGAGGAGTTTACGAAGAGAGAGAGCGAGAAGAGAGGAAAAAGATTTGAAAATTCGTGTGCTTTTTGTTTGCTAATTGTTAGTAGAGATGAAGAGGCGAAGTTGGTTATATTTATTAGTAGAGGGACTCGTGATGACCTCACCAAATTGTGAATATTCTTGTCTAATACAACATACACCGTTGAGGCATTGAGTCTGAAAAATCTATGTACCGACAAAAAAAATGGTTAAATCTTTTTTTTTTCAGTAAATGCAAGGAAACAAATTGTTACAAATATTTTGCAACGTCTTCTCCAAGGCAAATTAAAATCCTCAATAGTAGTAGCTTTTATTGATCTGGATTCGTTATTCATACGATTATATTCCTTTTTTATGTAGTGAAAAAAGTGAAAATTGCGTGTTTAAAATGTGGCATGAAACATGATTTAGATGATTTTTTATATCCCGTGAACTACGATTAGATATGAGAAGCCTCATTCTTTGAATGATTTATATAAACTTCCGTTCCAGATTTCTTTTTGTAGTTGCTAATTATTTTCTTTTAAAATTTTCATGAAAACCGTAAGAGATGATGTTAAGTTTATAAGTAAGTAATTACTAATTACAACTTGATTAGTTATTTTTATTAAATAAATAAGCAACGAATTTCTGTAACTTCATTTCTCAAAAGTTGGGAACGAATGTATACAGTTGCCTGCCAGAGTTGACTTGCTGCATAGTGAGATGAAGAGGCGAAGTTGTTGTCAGCCTGATTCCGGTTTAACTCGGTTCAATCCATTTGGTTTACTCACTTGGAGTTAACCGGCTGCGTTTAAAAAGATTAAAAAGAATGAGCTAAGGTTGGGTTTGGCTCGAAGGAAATAAGCCCAGTACAAAGGAGTTCTTGTATCTCATTAAAATATCTCATCAATAAAAAAATTAAAAAGTAAAAAGAAAAAAGGAATATCTCATCAAATATCTCATTTGAAAATAGATTCTCATCTATTGAAATACCCATTAATAACATACATGTATCTCTTTCTCGTTATTCTAATTAGTTTCACTACCGCGTTACGTTGCGGAATATTTTTCTAGATTTGTATATATTTTTAATATAATAAAATTATTTATATATTTTAAATGAGTATTATATTTATTTTTTACTAGCTTAAGTTATGTATTTATATGTTTTAAATCTGAATAAACATTATATATCATTAATTTTTTTATTTTATAAAATTATAATCTACTATCAAATTTGTTTAGCTAATTATCTATAAATGTATATGTAAGAATAAAATAATACATTTATAAGTACTTTCAAGCTAATGGTAGATGTAATTTATTTTCTCTACTAAATTGCTACTTGATCCTCCTATGAAATTATATAAAGCAAATTGTCATTTAAAAAAATATTAATTAATATGATTATTTTAAATTATAAAATTTATTTATTTATCAAATATTTATTATAGACATATGTTTCTAAAACTACCAAACTATAATCAATAACATTCATATCAAAATCATTACTATTACTTTAGAACTAAATAGAAAGTTCTATTTGAACTGTTGAAATATCAATTTAATTGAAGTTAAATAATTCAATTTTGGTTAATATAAACATATTATAACTTGAAAATTTAGCACAGAGAAATTTTATCTTTTTACAAAAACCGAAAAATTGCATTTTCCAACAAACAAAAAAAAATATTTCCCACGAAACTGAGAAATTGTCTATTCCCGCTAAAACCAAAAAAATTCATTTTCTCGTCAAACCTGAAATTTCATTTTCCTACCAAAACAAAGAAATTGCATTTTTCCTCAAAAACCAAAAAATCACATTTTCCTGTGACAACCTGTGTTTTTCCGTCAAAACAGAGAAATCAAGTTTTTTTACCAAAACCAAAAAATTTCATCTTTCTGCAAAAACAAAAAATAGTATTTTTCCGTCAAAACCAAAAAATTATTTTCCCGCAAAAATCGAGAAATCGTCTATTCCCACCAAAACAAAAAAAAAATATTTTTCTCGTCAAATCAAGAATCACGCATTCCTACCACAATCGATAAACTACAATTTTTCGCAAAAACCAAAAATTGCATTATCTCCTGAGAAATTGTGTTTCCCACGAAAACTAAAAAATCATATTTTCCCTCGAAAACCAAAAATCAAATTATATGTCAAAAACTGAAAATTTGCATTTCCCATCAAAACTAAGAAATTGTTTATTCTCGCCAAAATCGAGAAATTTTGCTTTTCTATCAACCCGAGAAATTGTATTTTCTGCAAAAATTGTCAAATTACAATTTTCCGCAAAAATCAAGAAATTACATTATTCATCAAAAGCCGAAAAAATGCATTTTCTATCAAAACTGAGAAATCATATTTTTCGTCAAAATTGAAAAGTTGCATTTCCCTCGCATTTTCTCGTCAAAATCAAATTTTTTATTTCTCACTAAAACCAAAAATTCACATTTTGCCGCCAAACTCGAGAATTCGTTTTTTTCTGCCATAACCGAGAAACTATGTTTTCCTACCAAAACTGAAAATCACATTTTTCTACCAAAACCAAAAAAAATTCTATTTACGCCAACCCCAAGAAAATGTTTTCTCGGTAACTAGTGGAAATGCAAATCTCCAAGCTGTGGTGGTTTGAATTTCTCCTCATTTGCTTTCGCCTTCCATTTTTTTTTTGTAAACTTTGAGCTTTTTAATGGGTCAGCAAAAAGGTAAATTGATTTTATTATTAGTGTGTTAATAATATGTATTATTGTTATGTTTTTATTGGTTCAAATTTTTGCTGATGTATGAGCTTCTTATAACATAACGTTTTTTGCATTGTTGTTATGGAAGCATAGTTGATGATGAGTCTACACTTTCTTCAATCATATACGTCTCCATCAAGCAAACACATAGTTATAAATTCTAATTTTTTTTGCTGTTATTTATTATTTGAGTTTCGGTTTGGCAAAAATATAAAACAAAGATTTAATTTTATTATTTGTTGTTATTTATTATTTGGGTTTGTTAGAAAAATAAAACAAATTTTTTTTATTTGCTGTCATTTATTATTTGAGCTTGAGCTTGACCAAAAAATAAAACTAAAATTAACAATAAAAATATTTGAGTTTTTAATGGGTTTAAATTTAAAAGTTAAAATAAATTGATGATTTGTATTAATGAAATATCTTTATTGGTGTTTTTTTTTGCTGAAGTGTCATCTGCTAAAAGCTTGAAAATGCTGATGTGTCAAGCCATTGAGAGACTTATGGATTATTATTGTGTTGATTTCTTTTAAATATTAAATTTTTTAATTATCTATATTAAATTATATTAAAATAATATATTTTTATGTTTGAGATATTTATTTTAAAAATCTTACTATTGTAAAGAATTTCCATCAAAAATATCTCAACATGAGTATTTTACAAAATAAAATAAAAATATTTTTTCATGTGAATAAAACAAATATATACATTTATTTTTTACATAAGGAATTTTAAAATACATTAAAATATCATATAAAAGTATTATATTAAAATATAACTAAATAACACTAAAAATATAAATATTATATTTGTGAAAGACTTATAAAATATTTTAGCAATGGAGATACTTTTAAATTTATCCTCTTTATTCTATTTTGTTATTGAATCGGACACTACTTATACTCAATTTTGGATGGCTCAATTCTTTGCAGTAGTTAAACTATTCAAATCGTGTTAGAATTTAAAAATAATTTCACAAGTTTTACAGAAATTATGTTCTTGGTACTTTAGAAATTTTTAAAAATGGGGTTTGCAATTTCCAAAATGTATTATTTTAAATTTTTTTAAATTTATTAAATTCATACTGTAAAATTATTAATTTCATAATTTTTTTAAAAAATCATTTAACATGAACTTAGTACCAAAATTCATAATCAATAAATTTTTAGAATTTTCTTCAACTTTTTAAATTCGCTTAAGGTATTCCATTACTTCGATTCTTAGTTAAAATTTCTTTCACTTTTCAAATATTCAACTTTTCGCCAAATTCTATGTATCAGGAACAAAATCAAAAAATAATTTCATATCTTACAGAATATCATGCCATTCCATAAATTACCAAATTCTCTATGAGGAACAAAAAAGGAAATTTTGTTTAACGCAGTAGTCATTTGTATTTTTGCAGAAGATCAAATTCATATGCCACTCCACAAGTACCAAAAATCTGATTCCCCAGGCGATAAAAACCCAGAATATTTAGACAATCATGGATCGTTCATTCCTTGGAAACTGAAACCAAGAAGGAGATATAAAATAAATAAATAGTACTATAGTCTCTAGATAAGCGTAACAAGTACATGTGGCAAATATATGGGCTTTCGATTAATACAATATCTTTATTTCCTCTCTCTCACTCCACTCTGTAACTGACACTTTCCGAGTGCGACTCTGATCGATTCGCCGAGCCAACTCGGGACGACCAAAACAAGAGCCGGAATCAACAATGACGTCGACCTGTGCGAGATTCGACACCGTATTTCTATTTTCAAGGTTCGGCGGAGCCAAGTATTCGCCGTTGTGGCCGTCACCGTCGTCGTCACACTCTTCTCTTCTCCTCTCTTCCGCGATTCGCCTTAGAGCCAAGCCGAGTTCGCGTTTGCATTCGATTATAGCATCCTCTTCCTCTTCGTCTTCATCTTCCGGGGCTATCGTCGCCGGAGCTGAAAACATTGAGGTTGTTTTCTTCATTCATCTGAGAATCCGTTCTCTCACTGATTTTAAGATTTTGAATTTTCGATTCGCTTGTGGCTTTTTAACAGATTAAATCGGTGCCGACGAAGCCCATCGAAGGGCAGAAAACTGGGACAAGCGGCCTTCGGAAGAAGGTACTGAGTCTGAGTCTACTGACTGTTTATCAATCAATTGCTTCTTTCCTTCATTGGAGGTTTGAATTTTAAGTTTTAAAAGTGTTGCATTCGATTTACTTCTCTCGTTTTTGGTAAATCAAACCTCTATTTTCAAGCTGAGTTTGATTTTGTGTGATCATTAACATGTTACTGTTCATACTTGTTGTCAAATGATCTAAAGTTTGAAGGAGTCTGTGTTTTTAATAAGTAAACCATCTATATGATTCTGTTTAAGTTACATTCGTTTGGATATTTTATGATTCCAGGTGAAAGTTTTCATGCAAGAGAATTATCTAGCCAACTGGATCCAGGTTCTGATTCCTTACTCTCAGTTTGATTGTAATTCAGAGCGGATGACTTATTTCATGGAAACATAGTGCTAAATAGTTTTTATTCGTTTTTGTGATGTAGGCATTGTTTAATTCATTGCCACTTGAGGACTATAAGAACGCGACATTGGTTTTAGGAGGTGATGGTCGTTACTTCAACAAAGAGGCTTCACAGGTTCTTTTTCGGTTTCCTTGTACGTCCAAAAGTTATCTTACTCAAACTCTTTTCGTTCTTGAAAGACG